AAACATTCACAGTTCCTTTTCCAGTGAGAGATGAAAAAGACAATCGCCAATCTTAACTTTGTCTCTAGTAGAACAATGGGAATAAGTAGAAAATAAGGAAGACATACCTATCATGTGGTTTGATGCTCCTGAATCAATCATCCAGTTTTGTCCAGATGGAGTAAATGAGACATGATTAGCAAAAGCATTAGTACCTGAGTGTTTGCAGTATGAAGTAGAGCTAGTGGATGGGCCTTCTAAATGTACGAATAGCCTTTACGGACTGGTGTCTCCTTCGAAGTGTACAGTGAGGATTGTGATGACTGATCTGTAGTGGCAGCAGCTGCATTCATAGTGGTTGAAGCATTGGGAGCATTAAACTGACCCTGACAGTTGAATTTTGCCGACCAAATTCCAACAAGTTTCTTTGAAATGACCAGTTCTACCACAATGATCACATTTTAGCTTTCTTTTATCACCTTGTTAGGCCCTTTTTTCCCAAATTTTTGAGTGCCACCCCCATTGTTGTTGTTTCTAAGAGGAAAGGAAGCTGAAGTAAGAGCAGATCGATTGACTGCTTCGCTAGGCAACATGACATTTTTCCTACTCTCTTCACTTTGAACAAATGAATACACCTGGTTAAGTGATAGAAGGGTATCCCTACTGAGTATTTAAAACCTGGCTAATTCAAACTCTGGGTTCAAACCTGCCAAGAACTCAAAAATACAATTTTGTTCCACGAAGTCTTTTTGTTTTTCATCATCTTCCTTACAGAATAATTTAAAAATGTGATAGTGGTCCTGCTCCTCCCACATACTACCAAGTAAGGAAAAATATTCAGTGAGAGACTCCTCTCCCTGTCAAAAGATTGCAAATATCCTACCTCAATTGATACACTTGAGCCACAGTTTGGGTTTGAGAGTAAATTTGATATACAAAGTCCCAATCACTTTTCCAGTTCTAAGAAACAAAAAAAATCCTACTAGTCGATGGCTGCATGGAGTGTAACCACAAAGACATAACAGGAAGGTTTGCAATTTCCCACTTCTCATGCACTGGATTTGTTTCTTCCGGTTTAATAATCTTACTATACTATTGAGATGTCCCAAATTTCCCCTTCCACCAATGAACATTTTAGCAGGCTTTGACCACTCCAAATAATTTTTTCTATCGAGTTTGACGGTAGTTATTTGCAGTCCAGAGTTATCTTCATGGATACCGATATGGGAGGTAACATTAAAAGTATTAGTGAAGGTGGAAGAGTGACCTGAATCACTCGAACTAGAAATATTGGCCACAACCTGGCCTGCAAAACACAAAGAATGCGTGCTGATCAACACTACCAGCCACTTAAAAATATGTTGTACGAGAACTTGAGATCATCCATACAAGAGATCTCAAAAAAGACTGAGTTTCACAACTCATAAACAATGTTTTGATCCATATAAGTGGTCCAACTACAGGCTTCAACATCATATATCCATGACAACCATATCTGGGGTTTCTAATCCCGCATAAAAAACTCGAGGAACTGACCGTGAATATTTAGTTTTTCTTCTATTCCAAACCTTTTCTCTGATCTAGGGTTTCGTACCCCCTTTTTTGTTCTTCAGATCTAGGGTTTCTAGCCTTATAGCTTTGGAGGCTTCACATGGCCAAATCACATCTTTAGGGTTTCAAAAAACCCCACGAAGTTTCCTGCTTTGATACCAAGTTAAAATACAGCAGTAAATAATGATGGAAGGAGAAAAAGGAAGAAAAAATATGAAGAGATAAAGTGCTCAATGAGAGAGAAAATGAGGAAGAAAGACGACGTTGAGTGAGAAGAAAGAGGGAAGGTGATGTTAGGTCATATTGACCTCCTGCACCTCTTATATGTTTATATTAATTCTAAAATATTTACTTCTACAAGTATGTCCTTTTGTGGAAAAAGGACAAATAAGTCCTTAGAGAGTTAAATACAGTATAATAATGACTAAGCATTCAATAATCGCTCTCATAATGCATAATTCACCATATCTTTTGTCATTACTTCCATCCATGTCCTTTGGAGTCTTCCCCTTACCCTTTTAAAGCCTTCCACTTGAACCAAATTACCCCTCCTAACCAGTACTATTCTAGGTCGACACTGCACATGATCCGACCATCGAAGTCTACTTTCCCTCATTTTATTGCCTCCTGGGGCTATTCCTAAGGTCCCTCGAATGTGTTTATTCAGAATTTTATCCTCTTATCACTCATCGATCTCAACATCTCCATCTCAGCTACACTCATTTTATAGATATGTTGTTTTTTGGCCTCCAAACATTCTGTTCTATAAAGCATGACTTGTCTTACAGTCGTCCTATATGACTTCCCCTTCAGTTTAAATTGATATGGAAAATAAAAAATTTGTCTATTTTATAAATTAGAGCTTCATACAGCACATGTCTCATTTGATAATCTAGGTAAAATGTGTGCATGAACAACGACATGAACATCTTTTGCTAGGCATAAGGAAATGTTAGCAGGGTGTTGAGGACTGGTTTATAAATATACATGGGTGATTTGAATTTTGGGAAGAGCTTAGGAAAGGAATTCGGCATGTGTATGAGCCTTTCACTGAATCAAGGGGAATGGAGGCCCTCACTGTTTTAGGGGAAGTTGTACAAGTAGTGTACCCTAATCGACTACCACCTAACCAATGGCACGAGGAAAGCAGTGAGAAAGGACTGACATGATAACTGAAAGAGGATAGTAGAATTGGTCGGGAAGCTAGAGTGAGGGCAGATGCAAAGGGAAACCTAAGCAGAGGCAGTAGGATAAAGTCACCTTGGTATGAACATATTTTTCCAAATTAGGGAATTTCCTTTCTACCCAACTATTGGAACGATTGAGAGAAAAATCATGCAATTAAGGAATTTTTGTTGCTAGTGAACGAAAATTCGGCCACCTTGCCGCCTAGGTGGCCATTTTCTCAAACCGCCTAGGAGGGCCTAAAAAAAAAAAATCAAATCCACCCAAATAAAAATAAGGCATGTGTATTGCCCACTCTCTCTCTCTCTCGAGTCTATGTGTTCTCTCTACATATGAGGAGAAGAAGTAGATAGGCTCTAAGTGTTCGATACACAACCTCTCGCTATCTCTCTCTGACACACAAGAATACACAAGGACCCATATTAGTGTTTTCAAACGCGGGATGTGGTCTGATGCGTTGGGGGCGGCCGATGCGGTTCGATGCGTTTCAGATGCAGGTGCATCACCGCGATGCGGTCAATAAATATAAAATATTCTAAACATTCTAAAAAATAGGTTAATGCATAAAAAAAATATGGAGGTGGTTTATGTGATAGTAGGTATTTAGTTTATTCATTAACTCCAAAAGTATCAGCTGTCACCTGTTGGAGATTCTGTATCAACTATCCCTTGATAGAAACTAGAAATTTGAAACTAGCTTCATAAATCATTCAACAACCATAATCACAAATTTGCAACCACAAACTTTAAAGTTATAGAATACAAAAGTCTATGAATATTAAAGAGTTCAAAAGTATAGCTCAAGATAAATCATCATCATTTGTCAACTTTCAAATCTTGGGATCCTTAATTTCAAATCCTAATATGAGAAGTTATCTTGAGAGTCTCCATGTGCATCGTCATTCTAAACTTCGCCTAAACTTCCTCAAATCAACACTCAAAATAAGTAAATCAACAACAAATCATCTACGAAAATCTAATAACTCCACAAAAAAAAATTTCTGCCACTTTTTTTTTTGATTAATTTGATTAAAAAAAAGCCATGGATGTCGCAGTTTTTAGTTGTTTGGGGATATAATACCCCCCAAAACCCTTTCCCCCTTTTTCGGGGCTCGAAATGTCTGAGATACCCCTGAACGAGGGTTTTTTTTATTGTTATTTTTTTTCATGGAAATGACTGGCCGCATATGCAGATTATGTAGGATGCGGCCGCATATGTTGAGAGATACAGGCACATCTCTCCAAAGCGCAGATGCAGCCTGTTGTCATGCGCTGCCAAGCACATAACGCTTTATGCGACTGCATTTTAAACCCATGACCCATATGCTCCATCTTTACATGTAAGAAGAAGACCTCCAAGTGTTCGACGCGAGGTCCCTCTCTCTCACAGACTCTCTCTATCTCTCTCTTGATCGACATATTAGAAGAAGAAAAAGAAGAACATCCTCCAAGTGTTTGAGACCTCTCTCTAAAAAATACGGATCCGAAAGAAAAACAGAAAGAGGATGATCTTCATGCAAGGCCTCACACACGCATACGTGTGCATGCACGCACACGCACACACACTAAACACATACCCACACGCATTCACAAAAAACACACACAAAACAACATATGATCCCCACTCCAACCCCCTGCAAGGGTCTGCCCCCTCCGCCCAATGCATCCGCCTTTGTGTCTGGGTGCCTGCCTAGCCTGCCTAGGCTGCCTAGACCCCTGACCACCTAGGTGGCCGCATCCACCTTTTTGAACCTTGTTTGTAGCCAAAAGGTAAACATAGGAATTCGTAGCTATAGTGTTGGAAGGCTGACTGGATGAGCTTATAATGTTTTGCATGGGAATGGGCATCATGGAAGGGCAATTACCTGTCGTTTGGATTTTGTGGTTATCTGTGGTAGCAGATTCTGTGAGGTTCCCATGTCTCTTGCTTCATTTTGGTTTGAGCATGTTGTGTTTTCCTATCTCCTTTAGTGGCATTCTTTACATCTTATCAGAACTGATAAAGTGATTCTTTATTTAACCATATGTTATTCAGATCAAAGTGTTTAAAATTGAATTAAGAGCAAAAAATTTTGTAAGTATGTCTTCTTTAGCTTTTTCCAGTTTCTCTTTTGAGATGACAATATTATTGCCCTTCTACCTCAGTTATTTGGCTACGAGTTCACTCAACTTGCAATGGTCATCTTTGTTTATTATGCAGATGTGTTGTTGTATTCTTTGCTGTTGTCTGTTTAAGTCTCATTTTTAATCAGTAAATGACGATTAATAGGAGCTTTTCCCCTTAGGTCTTGGAGCAGTCTGGAACGCAGCCAAAGTTGAACCTGGTTCAGTTGTTGCAATATTTGGCCTTGGAACTGTTGGCCTTGCAGTGAGTGGTCAATGAGTCAATTTTGTTTTCTTGGATAAATTCTTATTATTAACTGCCCAAGTAATTTTTGAATGGACAGGCATCTGAGGGTGCGAAAGCTGCAGGGGCTTCCCGGATAATTGGAATAGATATTGACAGCAAAAAATATGAGCGTGGTAATTATCTTTCGTATCAGCCTTTTATCTTTCTTTTCAATTTTTACTTAATGACATGATACTTGGCAAAAATATTGTGAATGGTGGATGGTGAGTAACCTATATAGTTGTGTAAATGCCCTAAATATTCGAGAATGTGTATTGAGCAATTCTTATAGTTGTATTCTGTCATAATTCCGAAGAAAGCTGCTGCTGATATTTCCTACTTTAGCTTTCTTTAAAGTCATTATCACAGTCGTAATATATACTGATGGATTTTATATTTTTATGTGGTTAGTGTTTCTATCTGGTCTTGTTGGATTTGTGTGTTAGTTGCAAATATTGAATATGTTGTCACAGAGTAATAGAGAAACTGTGAGTATATAACTCTAATTTAAACAGTTATCTTAAACTTGGTTAAGGTGTATCCTAATGTTGGGTGTCACAGGTTGAGATGCTTTAAATGCAAAGCAGTACCTGTCTAAACTCTGAAGAAACCCATGTGGCTGATAACAACCACATACTTATAGTTAACAAGCAAAGTTTATTTGAGTAGCAAGAAAGAAAGCAACTTATGTGCTTAGCACCAAACTTATATGCAAGGTTGCCATGCGATATGTCATGGATCTAATTGTGGTTCTCACACCATTCATTCTATACTGGTTTACATCAATGCCATATATTTATTCTCTAGTTCTATGATCCATGCATTCCTTAAACATATAACTATAAGACTGCTCTCTTTCTTCATACATTTAAAGGGTTCATTTGGCAGTCAATTCCCCCCTCTTTACATTATTTGTGAGGAGGTCTATTGCAAATAATACAACAGAAAAGGAAAAACCTCACAAGGTCTGTTCTTTTCTGTTCAAAACATGGCTGGGATTCGTGTTCTCAGTAACAGCCCAAGTGTAGAAGTAGCTGCTGAGGGGTGGTCCATTGACCACCAACACAACCTTAAGCATATTGCATATTTAGTAAAATTATATCCTAACAGCCTAAAGTGTTTATCGGTGACGAACAATATCTATATTTTTTGGTTTTAACAACCTATATATATATATATATTTTTATTTATTTATTTTATTTTATTTTTTCTGATGACTATAGTGCATTTCATTCAATTGTTGATGAATGCATCTGCAACATGTTAAATCTCATACATGAGGTTCAGGTAGGAGAGATTGTAAACATGCTTCAGAAGCTTGTGTTGAACACATTTTTGTTATCAGTATACAGCAAGAAGATGGCAGGTATATAGTTGTACTATATGCATAGACACGTATATATCCATGTTTGGTTATCAAGAACTACTTTGAATCGTGAGCTAGTAGTGTCTCCCATGAAGTTCTGTATTCAGATTGATTCTACCGTGACAGAGACATGCTCTACATAATCTCGTGCTTAGTTTATTGTTTTAAGTTAGTATGTGTTGTTATGAAGGTAATTTTTTAGTCCTTGAGAATGATTCCCATCCGATTCTAGACTGCATAGCTGCTTGGTCTCAGATTTATAGCCTTTCTGCAATATGGCAAGCAAGGCTTATTCTTGCCCTATCATTTAGTTGACGAGTTCATGGTGTCTGCACTGCAGTCTTCTTGCCCAACCATTGGAATCTGTAACAAATTCCCAAAAGTTTGTTGTTGTGGAGCTCTTCATTGTAGAAAGGATTAAATCGCTGATTACACAGCTTTAGTGTCCTACAATATTACTCATATAAGAAGCTTTAGCAGTGCCTCTGCTTTTAACTTTTGTAGAAATGTGTAGGGCCACACCTGAACATGAGGATTGATACTCTTCTTTAAGAATACTAACATATGATGGACTGCCATGAGAGCTCTACGTGGCCAAGCACCATAGATCTTATTTGCTGCATGTTGACCAAACCAAAAGTTTGTTGTGGCCAACTTGGTGGCTCAGATCAATCCATGTCATTGATAGTCCACCTCACACTACCATAGATACTTTTGGTTTATGGAATGCCACATTGACCTCCACTATATTCTCCATCTCTTTTCTCTCCTCACCTACTTGCTCCCCACCGTCTACCACTCATTCGTCTCTCAGTGCCCCTCCATCTACCTTAGCTCAAACATATACATGAAACCCCAAGAAATCCCTTTGCCCCTCAATGCTCCATCCACAGTCACAATCTCTACAACTCCAACCAACCCCACAAGCCAATCTCCATCTACCTTAGCTCCAACCTACACACGAAACCCCACGAAATCTCTTCTCCCTCAATTCTCCATCCCTAATCACAATCTCTATAACTCCAACCGACCCCTCGAAGCCCCTAACACACACACACACACAACAAAAAAAAAAGAAAAGAAAATAAGAAACTTTGGCAATTCACTATACCCCAAACCCTTTTTTTTTGGGTAAGTCATTGGGGGAGAAGGCCCCCTACCCGTTTTTTCATTAATAAAAAGGGTAAGTCAGTGGGGATTTGGGCCCCTACCCTTTGGTGAGAATGGAGTCAGAGAAAAAGTCGCAGTTCAAGTGTTGAACATAGAACACCCTAACAGACCTTAGCAACGCTAACAGACCTCTACATTAAAACAGCCTTTCCTTCCCAATCCCCTGGTCCTAGATACTTGGGTGGACATTCTTTTTTTTTTTGGGTGGGGTGGGGAGGGTGTGTTTGCTGTATGGAGAGAGAGAGAGAGAGAGAGAGAGAGCATATGGGTCCATATGTGTGTGAGGGAGAGATAGTATATGTGTTGTGAGTCCTTGCATCGAACACTTGGAGGCCGTCTTCTTCCTGAAAGGAGGCAATGTAGTTCTAGCCAAGTACACATTTAAAATTTTCTCACTTTATTTTATTTATACCGGCTAGACCACTTACAATCGCCAATTACAACTCAAAAAACAATCATAAAACAAAACCCTAGTGCAATTTAGGATCCTCATTTGATGCCATTGAAAAATAAAACTCTTATAACCTTAAGACATAATGTACAAGAGTGAATCAAGAAACATGAAACCATGAAATAGTAGATTACCGTGCCTTGGATCATCTCCAAGGACTTAATACACCCCACTCCGGATCTTGAACACCAAGGACGCACAAGATCTAGGTCTTTCACTTTGTCTCACAATGGGAGGCCTAGGCAAAAACCTAATCGAGATGAGAGCATGACCTAATTTTCTCTTATGGGAGGGCTTATCTAGGTCTATCTATCTTGGGTCGTGCCACCCCTTAATGTCCTACTTGGGGCGTGGCACAGCTTTAGACACTTGGCTAGAGACAAGAAGAGAAGAGAGAGAATGAGAGAGGAGAGAGAGTGGCATGGTATCCTAGGAGGTGAGAGAAGTCTATGGTGAGATGTGTCTTAGGCCACCCTTAAAGGGTGTATTTATAGATGCAAACTAAGGTTTTTGGGCTCTAGGGTTTGCCATCATATTGAGACTTAATCTTGATTGTCCATCTAAGGAGACTTGGGTGAAGATGTTGGCTACTCATTTCCTAAATCAGCCATCATGATTAAAAGGAAGGTTCTAGACCTATTTCCATCAAATTTTAGATTTTTATAAAATTATAAAAAATGTGTCATAAAATCTTAATCTATAGAACTTTCTATTAAATATCTCAGTCAAGTCTCTCTCTCTCGATCAAGTACTAATCATATATTATGTAAAACTTTGACTTCTTTGTAGAAGTCTTGACCAACAAGCTAAGAGGGAGAGAGAATAAAAGAGAGGTGTGGGGGGGGTCACTCCCCACTACAGTGGACCTCCCACACGGTTGGCCCTATTCCAAACAGACCCCACACTCTTCTAATAATATTAGAACACATAAAATAATTTTTTTCAAGACTATTAAATATTTTGAAAATAGCTCTGCATTCAAAACATTTGAAAACTCAATTTTTAGGTAAGTAAAAATTTATTTTGAGAAAATAATATATATGAAACCATTTTAAAAATTCATTTTGATATTTCATAATTTAAAGAAATCATTTAAATATAATTAAATGGTCATCGGATCCATCAGGTCTAGAATCATACAAATTAACTGAGGCAATCAAGTTAACATTTCTTCTAAAAAAAAAAACTGAGGGAATCCATCTATACTACAATCATCTTCTCAAACCCGAGTGAACAAAGCGTGATAAAACATGCCCCATTGGTCCTACCAGATGGAGTCATCATATCACTTTAATCATAGTTTTACATGCTCTTGTAAGGCGTTTAAATGGCCACAAAGCCCCAACATTTCTTTTCCTTGTTCTTATATGGAGAGATAGAGGGCTCGCTTCAAATAATTGGAGGCCGTCTTCTTTTTCTTCTTCTGTTGGGAGGGGGGGTAGGGGAGGAAGAGAAGAGAGAGAGAGAGAGAGAGAGAGAGAGAGAGAGAGAGAGAGAGAGAGAGAGAGTAGTATACTTACTTTCTTTCGTTTCGTTTCGTTGTTAGTTAGTTAGTAGTAGTAGTAGTAGTAAGTAAGTAGTAGTCGTAGTGTAGTAGGAAGGT